AAAAAAAAGGAGAAAAAGAAAGAAAGAAAGGAGAGAACAAACGTTGCAATCACCGAAATGGAAAATCTCACGGATGAACGGAAAGAACATTTCTCTTCGGTTGACTTTGAAATTCTACAAAATTGCTTTTGGGATCACGTTCTCTGATGGAACACAAACAAGTGAGCGCGTCGGAAGAACATTCGAAAATAGAAGATCCGAAAATGAAAAGCGCCCGGCGAAATTCCTTCGCGAACGATCAGCTTGCTGAATTTAAATGTAAAACCAATTGCTAGGACGAAGTTTTCGTCCGCGTTGCCGACGTGTCGACGACTAAACGGGAGATGAAGAAGGCTTTGGCTGTGATTATATTATTCAACACGATATTAAAGTGTACGACGTAAGATGATATAAAGATTAATCCTGCGCGAATTCTCGGCACGATTAATTACAGAATTAATAATAAAATTAATAAAATTGATAATGGAAATAGCTTTCTCTCTCTAAAATATCGTGGAAGAGCGGCTGAAACAAACCTTGCGCGATAATATTAATTGTAAGTAAAGTCCAATTACTTTCAGACCAGGAAGCAGTGAATTAAACAAATTTAACACAGATATAAGATTTATCGTTCGAGCACAGGAAAAAAGAAAAAAATTGAAGATTACAGATACAATCAGAGAATTGCGAGAATTCACGCAGAATCAGTCGCAGAACTTTCAGAAATGAATCATCATTTTCGTTCCGCAGATCGAATCGTTCGATCGATATGTTCGGGCTGCAATCAACTCTTCGAAGAGTCGAAGGTTAATTCCGTGAAGCCGTGAAGTTATTCGTGAGCCATCGTATTCGCACGCCTGACAAATGTTCGAGTTTATTACTTCGGAATCCGGTTTCATCCGTCTCCGAGTAAAATACGCGGAGCAATGAAATCACGATCGATCGGTAGGTGGTGCTCGGCGGCGGTAGACGTCATTTCGTGCCGAAAGTGGTCCAGGATGTGGAGGAGCCGGATAAAGAGGGCCGACGATTGGACGGAAGAAATCTGATCGAGGAATGGTCGAGGAACCATCGGCTGCGGAACGTCGCCGCGAAATTCGTGGCGAACAAGGAGCAGTTCGACAACGTTGACCCACGGAAAGTGAACCATCTGCTCGGTAACGTACAAGAAACACGTTTCTACATTTACGGAGAGAGGAAACAGGAATTTATTAGCGATAAATTTCGAAAAGGGGACACGTGACACGTGCCGTACGTGAGATGCACGCCGCGAAACTATTTGACACTTACGCTTACATTAGAGGTACCCATGAGTAATGTCGTTCTTTTTTCAAATTTAATAAACATTGCCATTTGGTGACAATAATTTAAAGAAAATAAAATTTTGTACAGTATCAAAAAATACTTATGAGTATACCTCTTGCAATTTGATTGCAATATGAAGGAATTGGAAAAAAAAGTAACTCTATTTTTCTGAAATATTCCTCGCGCTCGATATGTTATCCATTCGCAAGGGGCAGGGAACGAGAATTCATGCAGAAGTTGCGTAACAAAAACTTGTACAACTCGGGTGTTCCGTGAAATAAACGGAAGAATAATGTAGGTCGGTGAGAGGAATAACGGCGATTGAATAACGCGGATTACGTATTGTGTCTTTCGGTAATTATCGATCGTGCACGATTGCGTTAATCCTTCAATACAGCCAGCTCTTAGTTAGTCTGCCCTAATTATGATCGACGTAACGTTTGAATTTGAGATTACACTTGCCCTATCGATCAGAACTATTGATTCCCTTCGAGGTTGTCCAATAAGCATCGTTATTGGCTGACAACTAATTGAGCGTAGCGTCTCTCCTACCAATATATTCCAGGAGCGTATTTTTACAAAGCTCGTGTTGCCAAAATCATCAGACGCAGAAAGAGAAGCTGCGAAAACCTTCCTGCCGATCGATAAATTAATAACAAGTTTCATAACGAAATTCATTAACATTCAATCTTCTGTTGCGCAACTAATTACTTTGCTATTAATTATCATTTTAACATAGCTCGTTGCTCGCGTTGAAACTTTGTGTCACAATCAATTAGCGGACTCGAGCGGACGGAGAGGAGAGAAACAAATCGACGAAAGTTATCTTCCTTGTCGTGGAAATTCGGCCTCACAATCTACTCACTGTTCTCCACCGTTTCAGGGCTGTTCTCTTATTCTCACATGGACTTCAACGTTGACCGAAATACGAACGGAAGTGGCGACCCATCGCTGGCAGAAATGACGATAAAGGCGCTTCGTATACTTGCGAAAAATTCCGAAGGATACTTCCTCTTCGTCGAAGGTACGTATAATACAAGCGGAAAGACTTACGATTCCAACTATTTCACGTAACGTGTCGCGGAATATCTGCCATTAATCGAGGATGACGACAGCGAAGTGGGAGAATGTGGGAACTAATCTTACAATTAGACGCGTGAGATAATCGAAAATGTACGCGTTCAAACAAACTGCGGCTAATTTAAAACATCTTCGTAAAAACAAAAAAAGAAAAAAACATTGTTGAGTTTACGAAAACGTCGCATTCCAGTTCTTCCTACTTAGTTTTCGTCGCTCCGCGCAGGAACTCTACGATCGACGTAGCGTACGGCACATAATTGAAATCCTTCGATGGCGGAATACGATTGAGCTAATACTCTCGAGGATATGTTCCTTTTGAGGATAGGGAAACGCGAGTTTCCTCCGCGAAGATTGAGTCAGCGTTCTGTACTTTATCGAGTTTATAGCTTTCCGCGTGCGTCTTCCTTCCTCTCCCTTACTTGCCTTCCCAACCTCTCCAGTAACCAGTATGTACATCTCACGTTCTTTCGTCGTCGGGAAAAAAACGTTTGCTTTTTTCCTCCTTCCATCTCACGAGCACAGGAGGAGACTTTTCAACCAGCTATTTGCGCGAATCGTGAACTTTTCCCTCGCGCGTTTCATACTTCGCAGGTGATCGCGGACCCCTCGTCAAAATAAAATCACAGTTCCCTTCTGAAAGTAAAGAATGTACGAAAGTACAGTTTGCAGTCCTAAAGTTCGAGCAGAGAGTACGTATTGTTTTGACACGTAGCTCCGAATTCGGAGCATCGTCGAAGAAATCGAGCGATCTACGAAAATAAAGCATCGCGATTTTTTCTTTGTTGCCTTTTATCTTTCCCTTTCGTCCGATCAAACCACGAGCACGACGTTTGCACACCCTTGCCACATCCATTCGTTGCGAATCAATCGGCTTTGTGCGTGCGAAATGCTTTGATTAATCCTCTCGTGACAATCGATCTCACTTCGGCAAATCTCATCCGATTCTCGTTCTGTTGCCCCTCCGATCGCCTTCCGTTACATTGCTCAACGTCCACGCGTCTTTCAACATTGTCACAACTTTCGCAATGTTCAATCTTA